GTGTGTGTGTGTGTGTGTGTATGTGTGTGTGTGTGTGTGTGTGTGTTAGGGAGAGGAAGAGGAAGAGCAGAATGCCTGTATTCTACATGCTGCTAAGGTAGTAAATAAATCAGTAATGCAATATTGTGGGTCCAAACTACTCTTTGCACTACTTTATTTACAGTAGTAAATAAAATTATTTTTATACAATTGACTACCAGAAAGTGTCTTGTTTTTCTTTTTTATAATTACTCTTACCATACAAAGCCTACAGGTCCATGCATTCTTCTTGAGGAGGCAAAAAAGAAAAGTCCTCCTGATGAGAGGGCTTATTTTTCATAACCTATTAACATTTGTGGATAGAAAGGTGGCAGGAGGCCTCTCTCCAGGAATCCTGTGCTCAGGGCTGGCCCCGGAATGTTTGCAGGGTATCAGACATTGTTTCAGGGCTTCGTGCTGCTCTGAGGCTGGGCTTTATGTTAATTTCAGACTAAGCTTGCAGTTCATCCTCCTCCTCCTACGAGTGCTGCTCTTGTTTTAGCAAATGTTGTCCCCCCATTTGCACAAAAGCCAGACGTTGGGGGCCGACAGTCCTGGATTCAAATTCTGGTCCCGTAACTGACAAGCTCAGTAACCTTTAGTGGGTGATTAACCTTCTCTGAGTCTCAGATTCCTGTGCTGTACAATGGGGTGATAAAAACCACCTCTTGGGCTTTTCATGAGGCTTAATCGAGATAATACATGTAAAGCCTACAAGATAGGGTCTTGTATTAGGCCGTTCTTGCATTGCTGTAACAAAATACCAGAGACAGGGTAGTTTATAGAGAAAAGAGGTTTAGTTGGCTCAGAGTCCTGCAGACCTTACAGGAAACATAGTGCTGACAGCCATTTGACTTCCAGGGAGGCCTCAGGAAGCTTCACGACAGAAGGGGAAGCAGGAGCAGGCCTGTCTTGCATGGCCAGAGCAGGAGTAAGAGAGGGCCAGGCAGGTGCCACAGACGGTTATTTATTTTATTTTTGTTTTTTTCTCTCTCTCTCTCTCTATATATATATATATATACATATATATATATATGTCATATATATGATATATGAGAGAAATATTTAATATATAAAGACATTTTTAATATATATGAAATATATATCTCTCACACACACACACATATATATATAGAGAGAGAGACAGTCTTGCTCTGTCTCTCAGGCTGGAGTGCAGTGGCACAATCTCAGCTCACTGCAACCTCCACCTCCTAGATTCTGGTGCCTCAGCCTCTGAGTAGCTGGGACTGCAAGCGTATGCCACCATGCCCAGTGAATTTTTTGTATTTTTAGTAGAAACAGGGTTTTGCCATGTTGCCTAGGCTGGTCTCGAACTCCTGAGCTCAGGCAATCCACCTGCCTCAGCCTCCCTAAGTGTTGGGATTACAGGCATGAGCCACTGCACCTGGTCTATTACATATGTGTATGTATATACATATATATATTTTTTAAATTTTTTGCCACATAATTTTAAACAACCTGCTGTCACATGAACTCACTATCATGAGGACAGCATCAAGGGGATGGTGCTAAACCATTCGTGAGAAATCCATCCCCATTATCCAATCACCTCAACACCATTATCCAATCATCTCAACACCGAGATTTGAGCAGAGCAAATATCCAAACTATATCGGGTCCTAAATATGGTTGGTATTATTTTTATAATATAAGAAAGAGCAATCTTCTCTGGGCACAGTGGCTCACACCTATAATACCAGCACCCTAGGAGACCAAGACAGGCAGATAACTTGAGGGTGGGAATTTGAGACCAGCCTGGCCAGCATGGCAAAACTCCCATCTACTAAAAATATAAAAATTTAGCCAGGTGTTGTAGCAGGCACCTGTAATCCCAGCTACTCTGGAGGATGAGGCAGGAAAATCGCTTGAAGCCTGGAGGTGGAGGTTGTGGTGAGCCGAGATCATGCCACTGCACTCCAGCCTGGGCAACACAGGGGGACTCTGCTTCAAAAAAAAAAAAAAAGAAAGAGAGAGAGAGAGAGAGAGAGAGAAAGGAAGGAAGGAAAGAAAAGAAAAGAAAAGAAAAGAAAAGAAAAGAAAGAAAGAAAGAAAGAAAGAGCAGGCTGAGGGGCCAGAGAGTGACTCTGCTCTGCTGAGATCTTTTCTTTATGGCAAACACACCCGTTTCCAATCTGCTGGGAACATGAGCTGCTGACTGCTCACAGCTACACGCCACACTGGGAATCGCCCTAAGCGGTAGGGATCTGGACAAGGTCAAACCCTTGCAAGAGCAGCCTATGGCCAGTGGTTCCTTGATGTAGGCAGTTTCTCAATCTCAGCGCTATTGACATTTGAGCTGGACAGTTCTTCACTGCGGGGCAGGGTTGTCTTGTGTACTACAGAATGTTAAACAGCACCCCTGGCCTTGAATGAATGAATGCTTGCAGAGGGCACTCGCCACCCCTGCCTCCCAGTGTGACAGCCAAAAATGCCTCCAGACATTGCCAGACACCTCCTTGGGAGCAAATTCACAATCTCTTCCCCTGAGGAATGACTGATGTTGGAAAACAAAGGTCCTTGCCTCTGTTTGGAACAGTGCTGAAGGCCAGGGCATCCCAGCTCCAAAACTCCATCTTGGCTGCACCCTCACTGCAATGCAACTTCCCACTCTGCTCAGTTCCCAATTCTGCCTTCCTCATGTTCCTTTTTTTTTTTTTTTTTTGAGAACGAGTCTTGCTCTGTCACCCCAGCTGGAGGACAGTGGCATGATCTTGATCCTGGCTCACTGCAACCTCTGCCTCCTGGGCTCAAGAGATTTTCCTGCCCCAGCCTCCCCAGTAGCTGGGATTACAGGCATGTGCCACTATGCCCAGTTAATTTTTGTGTTTTTTGTAGAGGTGGGTTTTTTGCCATGTTGGCTAAGCTGGCCTTGAACTCCTGACCTCAAGTGATCTACCAGCCCCGGCCTCCCAAAGTGCTGGGATTACAGGCATGAGCCATTGTGCCTGGCCTTTCCTCATGCTCTTACAGGATTTTCCAACACTAATCCCCAGAAATCTTCACATCCAACTCTGTGCCTCAATTTCTAAAAAAAAAACCCTAATGTATTAGTTTGCTGAGGCTGCCATAACCAAGTACCACATACTAGGTAGCTTAAACAACAGAAATTTATGTTCTCACAGTTTGTCCAAGATCAAGACATTAGCAGGATTGATTCCTCTAAGCTCTAAGTCCTCTCTCCTTGGCTTTTAGATGGCTGTCATCTTTCGGTGTCTTCATGTGGTCTCTCTTCTGTGTGTGTCTGTGTCCTAATCTCTTCTCATAAGGGCAGCAGCCATACTGGATTAAGACCCACACATATGAGCCTGGCACAATGCCTGTAATCCCAGCACTCTGGGAGGCCGACACAGGTGGATCACTTGAGATCAGGAGTTCAAGACCAGCCTGGCCAACATGGTGAAACCCCGTCTGTACTAAAAATACAAAAATTAGCCAGGCGTGGTGGCACGCACCAGTAATCCCAGCTACTCGGGAGGCTGAGGCACAAGAATCGCTTGAACCTGGGAGGTGGAGGTTGCAATGAGCTGAGATCGCACCACTGCACTCCAGCCTAGGTGACAGAGTGAGGCTATCTCGAAAAAAAAAAAAAAAACATCCACACATATGACCAAATTTTATCTTAATTAACTCTTTTTTCTTTTTTTAGATGGAGTCTTACACTGTCTCCCAGGCTGGAGTGCAGTGGCAAGATCTCAGCTCACTACAGTCTCCCACTCCTGGGTTCAAGCTGTTCTCCTACCTCAGCCTCCCAAATAGCTAGGATTATAGGCATGTACCACCACACCCAACTAATTTTTGTATTTTTAGTAGAGATGGAGTTTTGTCATGTTGGCCAGGCTGGTCTTGAACTCCTGACCTCAGGTGATCCACCCGTGTCAGCCTCCCAGAGTGCTGGGATTACCGGTGTGAGCCACCATGCCCGGCCAATTGACTCAACTCTGAAAAGGCCCTGTCTTCAAATACTGCCACATTCTGAGGTACTTGGGGTTGGAACTTTAACATGTGAATTTAGTGGCAGGACACAAGTCAGCCCCTACCACCGACAGACCTCACACCATGGGAGGCTGCTTCCTGTCCAGAATATGGACTCATTCATGGGATCCATCCTGGTCTGCTCAGCTCCAAGTGAGGTTGGGAAATGCTGGCACAGTTCTGAGATCAAACCTGGGTTCAGGTGAAGCTGGTAAGCTCATTGTCAATGCACGTCCCACCTTACACTTCTGTTCTCTGGGGATTTCTCAAGAATGTATGATCTGGGTCCAGTACACACCTCAAGCCCCAAACTTCCTCTTCTCTCCTTAAATTCTAAATACAATTTCCATAAACCTAGTGTCCAAGCTGGCTGGAATAGAACCCTGCAAAATAAAGGCAACATGGGGTAGGAGGGAAGGAAAAAGAAAATAGGAGGTGTGAAAGAAAAGTAAATCTTGGGACTCCCAAAATCACTAAGCAGGAAAAGTCAAGCTGGGAACTGCTTAGAGCAAACCTGCCTCCTTTTTTACTCAAAGTCACCCCTCTGCTCACTGAGATAAATGCATATCTGATCTCCTCCTTTGGAAAAGCTAATCAGAAACTCAAAAAAACACAACAGTTGGCCTGGCACGGTGGCTCATGTCTGTAATCCCAGCACTTTGGGAGGCTGGGGCAGGGGAATCACGAGGTCAGGAGTTCAAGACCAGTCTGGCCAACACAGTGAAACCCTGTCTCTACTAAAAATACAAAAAAATTAGCCGGGCATGGTGGTGTGCACCTGTAATCCCAGCTACTCAGGAGGCTGAGGCAGGAGAATCTCGCGAACCTGGGAGGTGGTGGTTGCAGTGAGCCGAGATCGAGCCCCAGCCCAGGCGACAGTGTGAGACTGCATCTCAAAAACAAAACAACAACAACAAAAAAAAAAAAAAAAAAAAAACAGAAAAAAAAAAACAGAAAAACAAAACAATGCAACAGTTTGTCTTTCGCCTGTCTATGACCTGGAAGACTCCTCCCCGCTTCGAGTTATCCTGCTTTTCCGACTGAACCAGTGTTCATCTTACATATATGGATTGATGTCTCATGTTGCCCTAAAATGTTTGGGCACATGTTATCATGACTTTCTGAGACTGGGTCACGGGCGCACCTCCTTGACTTTGGCAAAATAAACTTCCTAAATGGATGGAGACCTGCATCAGATATTTTGGGTTAACAGAGTGTAGGGTACAGAGGTGACATTCAGTTACTTCCCTATTGTCCCCCCCACTTGGGACATTCTTAGACAATAGGTTGCAGACCAGTAGGCTGAAACAAATCCAACCCAAAGATATAATTTTTTAGGCCCACTCAATATTTTTAAATTTTTTGGCTGGGTGCAGTGGCTCATGCCTGTAATCTTAGCACTTTGGGAGGCCAAAGTGGACAGATCACCTGAGGTCAGGAGTTCGAGACCAGCCTAATTAACGTGGAAAACCCCATCTCTACTAAAAAAAAAAAAAAAAAAAAAAATCTGAGCATGGTGACAGGCACCTGTAATCCCATCTACTCAGGAGGCTGAGGCAAAAGAATCACTTGAACCCAGTAGGCGGAGGTTGCAGTGAGCTAAGATCATGCCACTGAACTCCAGCATGGGTGACAGAGCAAGACTCCATCTCAAGAAAAAAAAATCGATTAATTGCTAACATTGTAAAATCAAGGATTTGGGGCGTCTCCTAACACCTCTAACGATGTGAAAAAATTGAGTTTTCATTGCTGCATAGCAAGAATTAGCTGAGGCTGACTAGGTCTGCCCCTTTTAGTTAGAGTCAGTCCTTTCCAATTTGCCACAGTCCCCACTCCCTGTTGATTTACACCTAGTCCATTTATTCCTCTATGCAGGCATTTGGGTTCATAACTCATGGTTTGAACCTCCTTCTCGTCATTCTTAATGACTTCATTGTGACAAGTCTGAGAGTGATCCTCAAATTCACTTACTGCTTAAGCATTTCCAAGCTTTTGGGATCTAGGGAACTGGTACTCTGGTAGGCTTTCTTTCTTTCCTTCTTTCTGCTCCCTGGTAGAGGGAGATGTCAAGCTGTAGATCATTTGGAGTCCCAATGAAGTGTCCAACAAAGCCACAAGACAAAATGCCAATTAAAAAAATTATTAGTGTTTTCCTACAACAGCAATAACTAACTAGAAAATGAAATAGTAATATTAAATGTAAATAAGATTTCATTTACAATAACAAGACAGTTGTAAAGTGTCTAGAAATTAACCAAACTATGAACTCATTAGACGTTTTTAAGGAAATTTAAAAAGTCTACTTCTTGGCCAGGTGCAGTGGCTCACACCTATAATCCCAGCACTTTGGGAAGCTGAGGCAGGCAGATCATGAGGTCAGGAGTTTGAGACCAGCCTGTCCAATATGGTGAAACCCCATCTCTACTAAAAATACAAAAATTAGCCAGGAGTGGTGGCACACGCCAGTAGTCCCAGCTCCTTGGGAGGCTGAGGCAGAAGAAGTGTTTGAACCCGAGAGATGGAGGATGCAGTTGCCAAGATTGTACCACTGCACTCCAGCCTGGGCGATAAAGGAAGATTTCGTCTAAAAAAAAAAAAAGTTTACTTCTTGAAGTTAAGACCCTTAAAGAAATAAAATAATAAAAATTATACTAAAGTACTGAAAGAAGACATATAAAGCAGTATGCCATGTTCTTCAATAGAATAATAATATACAAACTATTAATTTTCCTCAGAATTAATATATAAATTCAATGGTATTACAATCAAAGTGGTAATTTTATGAGTTTGTGAGGAACTGACACACTGAGTGTAATGCTTCTGTGGAAGAATAGAAGTCCATGCACAGCTAAGGAAAGTTTGAGAAAAGAAGAAAAAGGAGAATTGACCTACCAAATGTTGTTATACTACAAAGCCAGAAACAAACAGTGAGGTGGTAACGCAGGAATAGACAGAGTTTAATGCAAAAGCTGAGAAAGCCAGGAGCAGACCAGGTCTGTATGGAAACTTGATCTCTGATAAAGAAGCATAACAAGCCGGTTGGGCTTAAGAATGCAAGATTTAGGCCAGGCACAGTGACTCATGCCTGCAATCCTAGCACTTTGGGAGGTCGAGGAGAGCAGATTGCTTAAGTGCAGGAGGGGGAGCCCAGCCTGGACAACATGGTGAAATCCCATCTCTACAAAAAATATAAAAATTAGCCGGGTGTGGTGGTGCACGTCTGTGGTACTAGCTACTCGGGAGGCTGAGGTGGAAGGATCGCTTGAGCCCAGGAGATTGAGGCTGCAATGAGCCAAGATCATGCCACTAATCTCCAGCCTGAGTGACAGAGCAAGACACTGTCTCAAAATAAATAAACAAGTAAACAAACAAATAAATAATAATGTCAAGTGAATTGGACTTACCTGTGAAAGGCAGAACTACAAAGCTAGCAATAGAAAACATAAGAAGATTTTACGCATTTTGAATAACAAAAGATTTCTTAAACAGTATACAAAAATAGAGATTTCTCTTCTTCAAAAATGACAGATTTCTGCTCAAGAAAGAACACCGTTGGTGATGCACAAAGTTGGTGCATTTAGTGTGAGATTTTCAACGTCCCACACTTAAAGCATCAATGTCTAGAATGTGCAAAGAATGCATGTTAATCAACCACGACAACGGGCAGAACCTCCTAGAAAAAATCTTCAAAGCACGGAACAGGCAATTTATGGAAGGAGAAACCCTAATGACTTAATGTGGATGAAGAGCTGCTCAGCCTGACTCGAAGTCCAAGAAATACAAATTAAAATACAAAGATGCCACTTCGCACCCATCCTAAATGTTAGAAATACAGTTAACATGGCCAGGCGAGGTGGCTCACATCTATAATCCCGGCACTTCGGAAGGCTGAGGTGGGCAGATCACTGAAGGTCAGGAGTTCAAGACAAGCCTGGCCAATGTGGTTCTAAAAGCCTGTCTCTACTAAAAATACAAAAATTAGCTGGGCATGGTGGCAGGTGCCTGTAATTCCAGGTACTCAGGAGGCTGAGACAGGAGAATCGCTTGAACCCGAGAGGCAGAGGTTGCAGTGGGCTGAGATCGTGCCATTGCATGCTACCCTGGGTGACAAGAGTGAAACTCCATCAAAAAATATATACATATCTGTTATATATTATATAATGTATATCTGTTATATATAATATGTATTATATAATGTTTATTTGTTATAGATAATATATATTATATATTATCTATATTACAGATATTATCTATTATATATAATAGATGTTATATTATATATATTATCTATATTATATATATTATCTACATATATAATATAATATATAATCTCTATAATATAATATATATTATCTATAATATAATAGATAATATATATAATTATATATATGTATTAATTACAAGTGTGAGCCACTGCATCCAGCCACTAAGAACAAGATTTATGCACAGCAACAGATATGTTGGAAAGGTTATTATATTATATAACATATACAAATAATATATATTATATATTATATTACATAATATATTATAAAAAAAAGTGGGTGGATCACTTGAGGTCAGGAATTCGAGACCAGCCCGACCAACATGTTGAAACCCTGGCTCCACTAACAATACAAAAATTAGCCAGGCGTGGTGGAGCACAACTGTAATTCAGCTACTAGGGAGGCTGAGGCAAGAGAATCGCTTGAAACCAGAAGGCAGAGGTTGCAGTAAGCTGAGATTACACCACTGCACTCCAGCCTCGGCAACAGAGCAAGACTCTCAGGAGAAAAGAAGAAAACCAAAGAAATGCAGGTAATACTCTGAGTATGTGGGGAAACAAATTCTCTAGTCTCACTGCACAGATGGCAGAGTAAACAGGTGAATAATATGACAGTAAAGTACTTAGTGAGATTAAGCATTTAAGGCTCAGCAAGCCCATCCCAGGTATGAGCTTCCCGAGCTCTGCGCAGGTCCAATAGGGGCTATGTATAAAGGAGGGTGATGCTCATGGCACTGTTTGAGAGAGCAAGCGGGAGCAGCCTGGATCCTGGATGTGTCCATCAGTCAGAGGACAGATGTGCTTGATGAATGTCATAGAAAACCATGCACCAGTCAGAAAGCTAAGGACTAGATTTTTTTTTTTTTTTTTTTTGAAACAAAGTCTCCCTCTGTCACTCAGTCTGGAGTGCAATGGCACCATCTCAGCTCACTGTAACCTCCACCTCCTGGGTTCAAGCGATTCTCCCGTCTCAGCCTCCCAAGTAGCTGAGATTACAGGTGTGTGCCACCACACCCGGCTAATTTTTTTATTTTTAGTAAAGATGGGGTTTCATCATGTTGGCCAGGCTGGCCTTGAACTCCTGACCTCAGGTAATCCGCCCACCTCAGCCTCCCAAAGTGCGGGGGTTACAAGCGTGAGCCACTGCGCCCGGCCACTAGGAACTAGATTTATGCACAGCAACAGATATGTTGAAAAGGTTAGAAATAGCCAGACTTGTTGGCTCACTCCTGTAATTCTAGCACTTAGTGGGAAGCTGAGGTGAGAGGACACTTGAGCTCAGGAGTTTGAGACCAGCCTGTACAACACAGTGAGACCTCGTCTCTATTAAATAAACTATTAGGTTAAAAATATTTTGATGAATGGAAAAAATAAGAAACTGAATGGGAGCTATACCTCAATACTAGTTATATAAGTTAAAAACCAACCTCCTTGGCTAGGCACGGTGGCTCATGCCTGTAATCCCAGTACTTTGGGAGGTCGAGGCGAGTGGATTTCCTGAGATCAGGAGTTCAAGACAAGCCTGGCCAACATGGTGAAACCCCATCTCTCCTAAAAATACAAAAAATTAGCTGGGCATGGTGACATGCCACTGCACTCCAGCCTGGGTGTCAGAGTGAAACTGAAACTCCATTTCAAAAAAAAGACCCTAATACTATATATGTACATGTGTGAATGTACACATATATGCATATACACAGATTTGTGTGTATATACACACACAAACACATTCTTTTTTCTTTCAGAATATACACTTTGTTTGTTTGTTTGTTTTTGAGACAGAGTCTTGCTCTGTCACCAGGCTGGAATTCAGTGGCCAGCTCTTGGCTCACTGCAACCTCCACCTCCCAGGTTCAATCGATTCTCCTGCCTCAGCCTCCCAAGTAGCTGGGACTACAGGCATGTGCCACCACACCCAGCTAATTTTTGTATTTTTAGTAGAGACGGGGTTTCACTATTATTGATCAGGATGGTCTCGATCTTTTGACCTTGCAATCCACCTGCCCTGGCCTCCCAAAGTGCTGGGATTACAGACGTGAGCCACTAAGCTGGACCAGAATACACACATGGTTTCAAATAATCGTTTCTCCATTTTGGTGCTATTCACATTTTGGACCAGATAGTTCTTTTTGGTGAGAAGCTGTGTGTGCATTGCAGGACGTTTAGCAACATCTATGGCCTCTCTCTACCTGATGCCAGTAGCGCCCACTCAGTTGTGACAACCAAAAGTGCCTGCAGACATTGTCAAATGTCTCCTGGGAGCCAAACTGCCCTGGTTAGGCACCCCTCATCTAAACCACATGTCAAACGCATTAGCATGACCACTTAGGTTCTCAGAGGTAGGGGTTGTGAGACGTACTGTGTGAGGAAGGAAAAATACTAACATAAAACAAGAACAGAGTCTTGTACACAATGGTTATGTTGTGCCATGAACTGAGGAGAATGATTCCCTCCCGTGTGGGCAGCTGAGCTCCAAATACAAGAAATTTAAAAAAAAGAACAAAAAACTAACATTGGCCCTCGTCCTCTGAATTGGTGTATGTTTATTGGTATTCAGTCAGCCACAACCTGAGTATCTTTGAAGGCAAATAAATTTAGTGCACAATATAATCTTTTGCACTTTGGTTTTCACTGTGACTTTAGACAGAGTGAAGGAGCCTTGGTGTTTCTTCAGTGAGATGAAACTAAAGCAATTTCTGAAGGGTGCAAAAGCTCTAGTGTCAGGAAGACTGTGTTGGATTAACCAACAGAGAGGCAAAACCTCCACTGCAGCGTTGAACAAAGCAGACAACAAACAGTGCTGGAAACCAAGATCAGCCCCGATGGACTTACCTGGATTTTGCAATTAGAAACAGCCAGACAGAAGCCTTTGAAAATAAACGGTACGATCATCCCTTCCACATCCATGGGTTCCTCATCTGTGGACTCAACCAGCCTTGGGTCAGAAATATTATTTTTAAAAATTGCAAACCAGGTGCAGTGGCTCATATCTGTAATCCTAGCAGTTTGGGAGGCTGAGGCAGGTGGATCCCTTGAGATTAGGAATTCAAGACCAACCTGGCCAACATGGTGAAACTCTGTCTCTACTGAAAATACGAAATTAGCCAGGTGTGGTGGTACGTGCCTATAATCCCAGCTACTCAGGAGGCTGAGGCAGGAGAATCACTTGAACCTGGGAGGCACAGGCTACAATGAGCCAAGATGGTGGTATTGCACTCCAGCCTGGGCAACAGAGCAAGACTCTGCCTCAAAAAAAAAAAAAAAAAAAAAAATTAGGCTGGGCACGGTGACTCATGCCTGTAATCCCAGCACGTTGGGAGGCCGAGGCAGGCAGATCACAAGGTTAGGAGTTCAAGACCAGCCTGACCAATATGGTGAAACCCCATCTCTTAAAAAAAAAAAAAAATTGTGACTGTATTAAACGTGTACAAACTTTTTTTGATCATTATTTCCTAAGCAATACAGTGTAACAACTATTTACACAGCATTTACATTGGATTAAGTAGTGTAAGTAACCTAGAGATGATTTCATGTATATGGGAGGATGTACATAGATTGTGTGTGAATACTATACCATTTTATATCAGGGACTTGAGCATGCAAGGATTTGAGGGAAATCCTGGAACCAATCCCCACAGATACAGAGGGACTACTGTATTTTTGTTATGGACTGAATGTTTGTGTCTTCCCAAAACTCAAATGTAGAATCCCTAACTTCCAATGGGATAGCATCTGGAGCTAGGGCCTTTGGGAGTGATTAATGAGTTCATGAGGGTCAAGTCCTCGTGATAGGATTAATGCCCTTATAAAGAGATGCTGGAGGCTGGGTGCAGTGGCTCACGCCTGTAATCCCAGCACTTTGGGAGGTCGAGGTGGGCGGATCACCTGAGGTCAGAAGTTCGAGACCAGCCTGGCCAACTTGGTGAAACCCCATCTCTACTAAAAATACAAAAATTAGCCAGGCATGGTGGCACATGCCTGTAATCCTAGTTACTCAGGAGACTCAGGCAGGAGAATCGCTTGAATCTGGGAGGCAGAGGTTGCAGTGAGCCAAGATGGCGCCATTGCACTCCAGGCTGGGCAACAAGAATGAAACTCTATCTCAAAAAAAAAAAAAAGAGAGATGCTGGAGAGCTTGCTCTGTTTCCCACATACACATAAAGAAGAAGGCATGCAAGTACACAGCAAGATGGCAGCCACCTAGAAACCAAGAAAAAATGCTTCAGGATAAAATTTACCTTGCTAGCACTTCGATTTTGGACTTCCCATTCTCTACAAGTGTAACAAATAAAGTTCTGTTGTTTAAACCTAGTCTGCAGTATTTTGTTATGGCAGTCTGAGCCAATGAATGCAATTTTCTAAAAGTAGCATATTATTGGCTGGGCATGGTGGCTCATGACTGTAATCTCAGCTCTTTGGGAGGCCAAGGTGGGCAGATCACTAGGTCAGGAGTTCGAGACCATCCTGGCTAACAGTGAAACCCCATCTCTACTAAAAATACAAAAAATTCGCCAGGCATGTTGGCATGTGCCTGTAATCCCAGCTACTCAGGAGACTGAGGCAGGAAAATCGCTTGAACTTGGGAGCTGGAGGTTGCAGTGAGCCAAGATTGTGCCACTGCACTCCAGCCTGGGCGACAGAGTGAGACTCCATCTCAAAAATAAATAAATAAATAAAAATTGGTAAGTTTACAGAAAATCTGAAAGACACTACTGACATCCTTAACCTAATTAACACTTATAGAATATCATGCTCAACAATTGCAAAATATACTTTCTTCTTTTCAAGGTCACATGGAATGCTCACCAAGATGGACAATATCTTGAAAAACAAGTTTCATTCAGTTTCAAAATATAGAAATCTGGCCAGGCGCAGTGGCTCACGCCTGTAATCCCAGCACTTTGGGAGGCTGAGACGGGTGATAACCTGAGGTCAGGAGTTCGAGATCAGCCTGACCAACATGATGAAGTCCTATCTCTACTAAAAATACAAAAATTAGCAGGCATGGAGGTACACACCTATAAGCCCAACTACTTGGGAGGCTGAGGCAGAATTGTTTGAACCTGGGAGGCGGAGGTTGCAGTGAGCCGAGATCTCGCCACTGCACTCCAGCCTGGGCAACAAAAGCAAAAGTCAGTCTCATACACACACACACACACACACACACACACACACACACACACACACACAAAGGAACTCTTATGGCATATATTATCTGACCACAATGGAAATAAATTGAAATTCAACAAAAATAAAACAGCCAGAATAGTTAAAAAATAACCTGCTGCTAAAAATGCACTGGTCAAAATCATAAATCACAAAGGAAATTAGAAAATATTTTGAACTGTCTCCGGGTTTAAAAAGAAAAATAATAAAAAAAAATAAAATATTTTGAACTGAAAGATAATAAAAAACAACCTATTATTTGTAGGATTTTGTAACATTAAATGTTTATAAGAAAATAAGATCGAGGCTGGGCGCGGTGGCTCACCCCTGTAATTCCAGCACTTTGGGAGGCTGAGGCGGGTGGATCATGAGGTCAAGAGATTGAGACCATTCTGGTCAACATGGTGAAACCCCGTCTCTACTAAAAATACAAAAATTAGCTGGGCATGGTGGCACATGCCTGTAGTCCCAGCTACTCGGGAGGCTGAGGCAGGAGAATTGCCTGAACCCAGGAGGCGGAGGTTGCGGTGAGCCGAGATCGCGCCATTGCACTCCAGCCTGGGTAACAAGAGCGAAGCTCCGACTCAAAAAAAGAAAAAAAGAAAATAAGTTCGATCTCAAATCAATGACATAATGTCCACCATAAAAAAAAATTAAGCTAAAGTTGAAGAAAGCAGAAGGAAAATATAATAAAGAGAAGAAATTTGTGAAATTGGAACAAGAAAAAAATAAAGAAAATCAAGAACTGGTTATTTGTGAAAAAAATAATAATATTGATTTTAAAAGCTCTAGAGAAAGGACACAAATTTTCCAATATCAAGAATTAAAAAAAAGCCATCACTTCACATCCCACAGACATTGAAAGAGTAATAAGAGGCCGGGCGCGGTGGCTCACACCTGTAATCCCAGCATTTTGGGAGGCCAAGGTAGGTGGATTATGAGGTAAAGAGATTCAGACCATCCTGGCCAATGTGGTGAAACCCCGTCTCTACTAAAAATACAAAAATTAGCTGGGCGTGGTGGCACACACCTGTAGTCCCAGTTACTCGTGAGGCTGAGGCAGGAGAATCGCTTGAACCTGTGACGCGGAGGTTGCAGTGAGCTGAAGTCGCGCCACTGCACTCCAGCCTGGCGACAGAGCAAGACTCTATTTCAAAAAAAAAAAAAAAAGGAAAAGAGTAATAAGAGAGTATTATGGAAAAGCAAAAAAGAAAAAATATACATACCTGAATCGATCCTTAGAAAGACTGGAAACAAAAAAAAGAAAAAAGAGAATATTATGAAAAATTTATGCCAATAATTTTGACAACTTAGGTAAAATGGAAAATGTATTGAAATATGTAGTTAAGAATAGATAGCTTTGGCCAGGTGTGGTGGCTCACACCTCTAATCCTAGCACTTTGGCAGGCTGGGGGGGAACACTGCTTGAACCCAGGAGTCCAGGGACCGCCTGGACAACATAGGGAGACCCTGTCTCCACAGGCGAGGGAAAAAGAATAGATAGCTTGACTAGCCTACACTTCTTAAGGAAATTGAATTCATAGTTAACACCTATGAAAATCGTTTCCTAAAAAGAAAATTCTAAGCCCAGATGGCTACAGCAGTGAATCTATCAAACATTTCAGGAAAATATAATGCTAACTGTACACAAGCTGAATCTATCAAATATGTCAGGAAAATATACCAACTGTACACAAACTCTTTCAGAAAAATAGAGAAAAATACTTCTGAACTGATTTTATAGGCCAATGCTACCTTAATGTCAAAGTCAGATGAAATATTACGAAAATAGTAAACAAAACTCCAATTAATATTTCTCATAAACATAGTTACAAAAGGCTGGGCATGGTGGCTCACGCTTGTAATCCCAGCATTTTGGGAGGCCGAAGTGGGTGGATCGCCTGAGGTCAGGAGTTTGAGGCCAGCCTGGCCAGCATGGAGAAACCCCGTCTCTACTAAAAACACAAAAATTATCCAGGCATGGTGGCAGGTGCCCGTAATCCCCGCTACTGGGGAGACTGAGGCAGGAGAATCACTTGAACCCGGGCAGCAGAGGTGGCAGTCAATGAGCTGAGACAGGGCTACTCCATTCCAGCCTGGGACACAGAGCGAAACTCTGTCTCAAAAAAAAAAAAAGATACAAAAATTATTAACCAAATATTAGCAAATTGAAACAAGCAATTAATAAAAAGGAGAATACATTGTGATCTAGTGTAGTTTATCTCAGGAATAAAGATTGTTTAACATTTAAAACCAATCTCTGTAATTAATTATATTAACAGACTAAAAAAGGATAAAACTTCATGTCAATAGATGCAGATAAAGCATTTGACAAAATCCAATGATCCTTTTTATTTTTTATTTTTGCTTGAATTTCTCCCCCTCAAAAAATCCAATGTTCCTTTATGTTAAAAACACACAGCAGGCTGGGCATGGTGGCTAACGGCTATAATCCCAGTACTTTGGGAGGCTGAGGCAAGCAGATCACCTGAGGTCAGGAGTTCGAGACCAGCCTGGCCAATACGATGAAACCTGGTCTCTGATAAAAATG